TTGCTGTTTGGGCAGCGGGGGGGGGGCAGGAGGAGCCGGCCGTCTGGCGCGGAAGGCGTGGTTGGAGGCACCCCCACGAGAATCCGCAGAAGCGTAGCTTTGCCGCCCTTCCGGGAAGTTTCGGTCCATCCGGCGCCCCCCCACTCTTCTTTCAGCCCAATCTTGCGTGGTCCCGGAGGAGCCACGACTGACGTGCATTTTGATCATTACTCATGATAACGAACACACAGCCTTTGTACATGTCTGCTGCCTCCTCTGGCTGGTAGAATTGCATGAACTGCCGCCTTCTCCTCACACAGATTCCGGGCTCTGCCTTGGCCGGGGTTGCCCCCGGTTTTTGGGCAGGGGTGGGAGGGGGGTTCCCAGCCCATCTCGAGATCCTCGGTGCAAAACAGGCGCCTTTCGCCTCAGCCACGGTGCCTTCCCCAAGGGAAATGGGCCAGCAGAGGTATATAACTGGGGGGACAGGATACGCTGAAGGAGATCAGAAGCTTCCTGGATCCGGGGCTCTGCTGAGAATCTTCCTAGCTTAGCAAGACATGTGCCGCTCTGCCACGCAGCCTGGAGGCTGTGAAACCAGGATCAGGTGGAAGTTAGAGCAGAGCCTGCGGGACTGTTTGGAAGCCCTCTTCCCATTTACACAAAGGGAGGGACTCACACAATTTGCAGGTCTGGATGCCGGGGACCCCCGCCCCCGTTAAACTTGCAACTCAGCTTTCCCCACTGAAAATGCCCTGGCCAGGACAGGAACAGATACGCAACTTCTGAATAGCCCAGGTTGGGGACACTATGACTCTTCATCCTGCTTACTGAAGTTCCTGATTCTACCCTGCCCCCCCCCCCCCCCTTCAGCCTCAGTAGTGTGGCTGGAGCAGGCATCCCCCCCCCCAGCTTGCATCGAATGCTTATGCATCTGGCTGTTCTTCTGTCTGGACAGCTTCTGTCCCCCAACTCTTTTCCTGGGTCTGTCTGTCTTGGGTCACGTGAAGACGCCCTTTTCCACAATCATTCTGCGTTCTTTGCTTCCGCTTCTCCCCCTCCCCTGAAAGAGCAAGGGGATTGCCTGGGGTGGGGTTCAGGGGTATCCGCAGGATGCGGTCAAAAAGGTCAAGATGGCGGCCACAGTGGTGTGATGCACATTAAAGAAACCAGGCAGAGCTTCGGTTCCACCGTTCTTGCTGCCACGTTGGCATTTTTGACCATATCCTGGCCCATACGTTTATTCATTTATTTCTCAGTTTGCGTGCCCCCTTAATTAGGCAGCTGCTCCCCCATTTCCCGCCTCGCCTGAAACCCTTCCAGAGCCCCCTCTATTCCTAACCCCGGCGCCCCGAAAGTTGTCTTCCACAAATTTGGCCTTCCGCTCCCTGTGCTGGAGGGGCAGTCCTGCGACCCATCTGGGCTGCTCAGCTGCGACTCGGGCACCCTCGCCCTGGGCCGTCCCTGCTTCCCAAGCCCCTCTGGACTGGCAGGCAGGAGCCCAGCAAGTGTCCTACGTAGTGTTGACTCTCCAGGCTCCTTGCTGAAATTTCTGCCTGCCTGGCGCACGGTGAATACCCGTCTGCCTCTCTTGGTGCACACACACATGGGCCGTCCTCGGGAAGGACGGGTGCCCGGCGTGGGTCTCTCACCCCAGGGACAGAAATGCTGCCCAGGGCCTCCCCTCCCTGCGCGGGGCTTATTTGAACCTGCCCCCCATCCTGGCTGGGGTGAGAGAGGCTGAAGGGGGGGTGTTTCTCCTGCCTTTCTTCTCCCCTCTCCCCCGCTGGGCTCATTTCTCCTTTTCCATGGCTCCCCCGTTTCCTTCTTCCCTGCCCAGCCATCAAACCTCAGGGCTAATCCAAGCCTTGCCAAAGTGTGGGAAATGCGGGGGGT